TTTGGAATTTTTTTACAAATTGTTGTGTATAATATTAATAAAACAAATGCGTAGCACTGAACCACAAACAGGGGAAACACGAGCAGCTGATACTGAGTCATGTCAGGTGAAGTGTTCCCTAGTTTACTCATAACAATATGAAATATTTTGGAAATTGTTAAACTGGGCCTTGGGCGGATGGGGAAGAGGTGCCAAAGTATAACCTGTATGGGAAACGGCATCTAAACTGATCAGGCTGAATGGGATTTCTGTCAAGGTTCTGTAAAGCCTGTCCAACCTACACTGTTAGAAATAAAGGTTCTGTTCAGGTACATTTTCATTCATCAAGGTACAAACAGTGTAAATGTTCCCTCAAAGGTACAACAGTGGTTTTAAGGTCTGATTGTGAACCTTAAATAAGTTTTTCCAGGTGAAAAGTTCGTATTTGTACCTTTTCATAACCGAATGATTTAAACAGAACAGTAAAATAAAAGCCTGGAGACGAGACGGGGTGTGTGGAGTCAGTACAGCTTAGAACATACCATTTCAGTGGATTATGGTCCAGTTATGTTCCCTGACTAAAGGTACTGAGGTGTACCCTTGAGGGTCCCACCCCAGTGACAAGAGGGGAACTGCCCCAGTGACAGTTTAGTACCTTTATTTCTGAGAGTTTACATGAAGGAGCACATTTGTGGGTGGAGCCTGGACAACTCAGCTGCTCAGACATCCTACAAGCCATTTGAACAGTTTCAGCCTCAAATACCATCAACTTGCGACCTTTTCAATCGCACAGCAATGTAGGTGGTTCAGGAACATCTGATACACACCATTACAGGCTTTAACCCGTCTGTGAAAACAGTAACCAGCCTGAAAGAACAACAGACCTCTCTCCAATCGCGATGACACACCAGCCAACTCTTAATCCATGACAACAAACTCAGATGCACATGACCCAGAAAACCTGAGGGGAACACACGGACATGCTGAGAAGCTCCCAGGACAAGTCAAAAAGCGCATTCCCTCCGGAAAACAGACTCGGGAGCGTAATTAAAGGCAGTGGGTCACTGGAACGGTCTGAGCTTGTTATTATCTATAACTGGGTTCACTTTAGGGGCCACTGGGACAAAAACACTGACACCTAAAAGCAATGCACAGATTCAGCTGATTAAAGGGGAACCAATTTTTTAAAAGTTCCACATAATAAGATGTAAACAGAGTCATTCAGAGTGGTTTGGTGTGAAACGCTCTGTTCTAGACAAACTTATAGTCAGAGCTGTTCACAGTGGTGGTCACAGGAACTAGACGTCCACCTCTAAAAGGCAGAGGTATGAATACACTACCTGATGCCTGAGACACTGTTTTACGATATACATATTAGTTTTGGCCTAAAACGTCTTGTTAACCAGTTTATTTTGATCCATTTGTAGCGGAGCGGGACATGCAGGGTGTTGTGAGGCAAAATAGTCACCAGAGAAAACATATTTTCTCAGATTTTCCACTATTTTGCCATTATCAACACTGCATACAAAAACTCATCACATGTAGGGTCACTGGTGCTTTTGGATAGTAAATAAAATGGCTATATTTGTACTTTAGACCTGGCGACCCCTGGTTCCCATCACCACCACTGTAAAGAAATCTGAGTCTGTAACTTTTTCTACAATGCACCATTTTACGTCAAACCACTCTGAATGACTTTGTTTACATCGCAATGACAGAATTACGCAAAAAATGGTGGAATTCCCCTTTAAGCACTGGTCAAAGAACTGGTCTTTTACGCTTATGGTGTAGGGGTTCATTGTCCAGCTGGGAAAATTAATATTCAACCCAATACTTTGCAAACTGCAACAGCAGGAACAAAGTAGGCCTCCAGAAGCGGCTGCTGAAACAGAGAGATGTACTGTTTATGCTGGTATACTGTGATACTGACACACTGTTCTATTCTATTTCACCTAATATATCATGGCATCACAGTATCAGATGACATTTGAGTTTACAGTAATGAAGTTAATCAGCACATTAGCTTCCTCTACGATAAAACAATGACAGCCAGGACACGACCACTGATTGCAATATATCGCTGTAAAACCTCCATTTCTGGCTCTGTTTTTCAGTTTTTGACGTGATTTGAAAATGACTATTGTCCTTTACGTAGTGTGTACACTTCATGATGAATGGACCAAAAGAAATGGCCCCAAAAAAAAGGTCTGTTTGCATTGACTTACATTAAAAGATAGTATATTTTCCCTCTTATTGTAAAGTCATTATTTTGGAGATACAACGTTTCGCTAAATGCTTCAGAGTGTTTTTAAAGAACAGTTCAAAATACTCAAAAAAGCTAAATAAACAGTAGAAAGGTAACATGGAGCTTGTCTGGTTAACAAGTTCCAGACACTGAATAGAACAAAACAGTGTAATATTGTAAGTGTGCAACACGTTACTTTAGCTTAGATAAATCACACATTCATTAACCTTATTACTGCAAACTTACAGGGGAATTCGATCTCAAACGTTCTTCATAGCTCAATCGTTGAGATGTAAACAAAGTCACTCAGAGTGGTTTGGTGTGAAATGGTTCACTGCAGGGAAACTTACTGACTCTTTATAGTGACTTTCTTTACAGTGGTGGTGATGGGAACCAGGGGTCGCCATGACTACAACACAAATATAGACATTTTATTTACAATCCAAAACCACCAGTGAACCTCCACGAGTCTTCTGAGTTTCTTTATGTTGATGATGGTAAATTAAAAAAATAATGTTTTATTTGTGGACTGTTTCACCTCACAATGCCCTGTTTGTACCTCTCCACCATGAATGTATATAAAAATCTGTTTTAGGCCAAAAGTTTGTCTCAAACCTTAGACCATGTCTCAGGCATCAGGCAGTGAATTCATAACCTTTCCATGTAATAACTTTCTGTGATGGAGCTTTTAGAGGTAGAGTCCTGGTTCCTATCAGCGCCACTGTGAACAATTCGGACTATGTTTCTCACATCAAATCACTCTGAACGACTTTATTTATATCTTAAAGCTTTAATTCCACAGAACATTTCAAAAACGGGTGGAATTCCCCTTTAAAAGTCATCTAATGCCATGACACATCTGGAAAATATTACAGACGCACGGTATCAGAACCACACTGGCTTTGGCACCAAGTTATCTGTACCAACCAGCTGCTTAGATCTGACTGATATTTGATTTTTGTACTTGCTGCACTTCAGCAGAGCAGAATGATTAGGCGACAGAAGGTCATGATGCTAAAATGTTTGCATTTTATTCATTTTACGGTATTTGTAACCCGATACAAATAAATGTTGCGCTTTACTGTAAAGTTACACCAGACAGATGTTGTCCCAGTTTCAACAATATCAGAGCATCCCAGAGAAATACTGTGATACTGAAATTTACCACTAGGTACAGGCCAGTCTCGGCTTTACCCTAACCGGTCAGTAAGTAATGAAACGCTCAGTTTTAGAGTATGTTGGGCAAATAATATGTCAGTGCAGCTCAAACTGACTTCTAGACTGTCAGGCTGGATTCCTAAACTCATCTTTGACACACTGCTGTAACATCCTCACTGTACCCTCCTGAAAGGGTCTGAAGTAAGAATGATTCAAACCAAATGTGTTTGACTAAAGGAACTTTACTCCAGGAGGCTCACTAGGATCACTAGCCATTTATAAAGTAATAAAAATAAGGAAGTTTTCCATAATTATGACTTGGTATTTCATAATTATGAAATGGTATCTCCTAATTATGATTTAGTATGTAATAATAATGACTTGGTGTCTAATAAAAGTGAGGTGCTAAGTCATAATTATAAGAAAGCGAATCATAATAATGAGAAAGTAAGCCAATATTGTGGGATGCTAGGTCATAATTATAATAAAGTAAATCACAATTATGAAAGTCATAACTACGAGCTGCTAAATCATAATTATAAGATAAAGTCATAATTATCAGGCTAAATCTATTATGAGATGCTAAGTCATAATTATGAGAGAGTAACTCATTATTATGAGATGCTCTCATAATGAGAAAGTAAGTCATAAGATGCTAAGTTATAATTATGAGAAAGTAAGTAATTATTGTGAGGTGCTAAGTCATAATTATGATTTCGACATGCTAAATCATAACTCTGAGATACGAAATCACAATTTTGAGATAGCAAGTCATAATTATGATATGCTAAGTCAAAACTGAGATACAAAGTCATAATTCTGACAAAGCAAGTCATTATTATGAGATACCAAGTCATAATTATGATAGTCACAATTACATGTTAAATCATAACTATGAGATACGAAATCACAATTTTGAGATAGCAAGTCATAATTATGATATGCTAAGTCAAAACTGAAATACAAAGTCATAATTCTGACAAAGCAAGTCATTATTGTGAGATACCAAGTCATAATTAAGACACATTAAGTCATAATTATGGAAAGCTCTCTCATTATTATGACTTACTAAATGACTACATATTCTTCTTCAGTGGCAAAATATGGCTTCCATATCTATATCATAACTCAAGAGCACTTAAATTCGCAAGCAAGGCTGTTCTAGAGAAACCCGGACCACCACTTCTGGAAAAACATCCTAACGGAAAATAATCAGGAGGCGGCGAACTAACCTAGCCCTAGGACGTTAGCTTAGCCGGCTGGCTTGCAAACTTGCCGAAGCCGGGCCTCAATGATTTCGCTGTTTATTTCTCCACAGCGGACGAGACGAAGCCGAAGCTGGCTTCCTATTCCAATTTTCGGCTCCACCTTAAATGGTGCAGCATTTCCATTCTGGCACCGGGCGCCAGAACGTAACTGCTGCACCATTTAAGGTGGAACGGAAAATTTGAAAAGGAAGCTAGCTTTAGCATCGTGCAGATAAGGGTGGCTAGTTAGCCTCACGGCTAGTGAGCTTAACTCACAGCAGAACCGCTTTCTGACACAGGTGGTCTCTCCGTTTGGGTGCGAGGGCGGGTGGGGAGAAGAGGAGCTGGTTGAAAATAAACGTTTTTCTCACCTATGGTGGAGATGAAGGTGGTGTTGAAGGCGTCGTCTGAGAAGCGGAACAGCACGCAGGTCTTCCCCACACCGGAGTCTCCGATCAGGAGAAGCTTAAAGAGCAGGTCGTACGTCTTCTTCGCCATCGTTTGCTTTTAAAAAAATCTGTTAACAGTAAAGTACGAGGAGAGAGGCGAGAGCGGGGCGGCTAACCGGGTGCAAATCTCTGTGTTTTCCAGGCTAACTCACAGAGCTAAGCTAAGCTAAGCTAGGCTAGTTTTCCGTACCGGACCGTTATCTGGCTAATACGTTAACGACGAGAACCGGGCGACTTTTCCCCCAGCAGTCTGGCTACCCGTTAAGTCCGTTAAGTTAAGGTTACCGTCCTTGCAGTGTTTGTTCTCGGGAGGGTGTCTTTTGGACCTATTTTTGCCCCTCTTTGCCCCCCAACTCGCTCTTTCTTTCTCCCACACAGTCACAGGGACAAAATGGCTCCCTCAAAAACCCGACTTTACTCTTTTCTTCCAAACTAACACCGAGCTGTTTCCAGATTCTCGGCGCGCCGCGTCATCCCAGCCGTCCCTTCAGATTGAACAGTCCCCGAGAGCCCGAACACGACGCTGGATTGCCGGATCTGTGCCGCCGTTTCTCCGTTTTTCGTCCCTAGTTCTGAAACGAAGCCGACCGCCGTCGCCTTCGAATGGAGCCACCAAAGGCGACACCCTAGATCTGAGGCCACGCCCCCTCCCCCGCCGATGCTGCGGCCTTCTCCCTTCCGATTGGTCAAAACGGCCGTCTGTCAAATCCTTCTCCACTGCTGATTGGACAGAGTGTATCCCGTCAAAAAGGCATGCGGGCGTTCACTGGCCATGCTCGAGGTTTTGAAGGGGCAAATGTTAATGGGTGCGGGTCATCTGCCCCCCTCAGTTACGCGTTCTAAATACAGCTGGCAGATCATTTCACCGAGGCGGTGAGGTCTCTGTGGTACGGAGCCCCTAAAGTGACACGGTGGATGTTTTTTAATAAGACGTGTCCAAAAATTACTGTATTGAGGCCACAAATTACTATTTTGAGGCCACGAATTACTGTATTGAGGCCACACATTAATAGACATAGGCCCCGAATTACTTTACAGCACTATAAAGCCTTAAAGTACTATATTGAGGCCACAAATTACAATACTGAGGCCACTAATTAATATATTGAGGCCGCTTGTTACAGTATTGAGGCCACTAATTAATATTTGGAGGCCACAAAAATCATATATTGAGGCCACAAATTAAAATATAGAGCCCACAAATGACTATATTAAGGCCACAAATTACGATATCGAGGCCACTAATTACAATACTGAGGCCACTAATTAATATATTGAGGCCACTTATTACTGGATTGAGACCACTAATTAATATATTGAGGCCATAAATTAATATATTGAGGCCATAAATTACTAGAGTAAGGCCACTAATTAATATACTGAGGCCACAAATTAAGAGAAAATAAACTTGTGGCCTCAATATAGTAATCTTCGGCCACGCCTTATTAAAAAATGATGACCATGTCACTTTAGGGGCTCTGTACTCTGGTGCGTCCCTTGGTGTGGACTGTTTCAGGGACTCAGCTCAGTGTTCTCCAGCTGCAGACTCCTGAGTTCTCCCTGCTTTTGCTAAAGGTCAGTCATAGTGAGCTGAACGGGGTGGGACAAAGTATGAAAATGTGAAACTGTACAAGACTGCGGTTGGGAAACACTGCCATGGCTCGGCTTAAACTGCCGGATACAGCTGTTGAGTCAAATCATGATGTCAACAGTGCAATTTGGGTGTGCCCCTTAAATGTTCTGTCCCAAAGCCAGAACTTGGAAATCATCTCCAGGCATAGACTCTTCCTCTTTAAAGGGCTTGTGCTGTGGAAAACCATGAAAACCAAATTTTCCTCATTTTTTGGGAGTTTGATGTAGAATGTAAACCATGTTAAAGTTTCTAAAATCAATGTATGGAAGCCAAGCTGCAAAAAACAGCCAAGTTTGAAGTCGCTGACTTTGTGATGTCACAAAAACCAACACATTTACATATATCTGCCAATTCAGGTTACAGCACTCAAGCTCTGCCCATTCACAGTAAGGTATAAAAATCACTGTAGTCCATACTTCGTTTTATATGAGGAATAATACAGGGCAGCCAATCAGAAAGCAGGACATTTACATGTATCAGTCTTAAAGGCACAGTGACAAAACGGCTTGTTTAATTCTAATGGATAAATGGAGATTTAAATGGAATTAAAACACATATTTTTGGCCCTTAAACCTACAAAAACAGTAGAAATGAACTTCAGGAAAATAAATAAATAAATAAAACTAATAAATAAAAGAAAATTGTAGAATATGGGCTCTTGTTTGATGTTTGAACTGTATATAAATGTCAAATGCACATTTTTTTTGCTTAGCCCCAAACATAGCTGACTGGCCAAGACCAAAAAAAGAAAACCAGTTGGTTTTCTATTACTTAGTAGATGCATTAGCCTCATAGTTCCGCTGCAAAACTAAAGAGACAGGCTTCACCAAATGTCTGCGACTAGGCCTTCAGTTCAGGCCATAAATGTCAAAACTCTCTCAAAAATAAGAAGAATAAGCTTTTCTACCATAATGCTAATTTCAGCTAGCACCCCTATGGGATTCTAGTAGTATGTTAGCAGTAAGCTAACAGCGATTCACACTTTTTGGCACTTCTAGATTAAATATGGGCCGTTAAACCTTGCAGAAGACAGTCCATATTTTATTTATAGCTTGTAACAAACATTAACATGTATTTAACCTTGTATTACTTTTACAGTGACTCTTTCAGTAAAGAGTCCTGACCATAGATATATATACCTAGATGCCGCGTTGGGTCCAGCCAGGCACATCAAGGCGCTGCCATTTTAGGGCGGTCAACATCGCTGCTGGACTGCATTCAGTACCATCACAGAGCGGCAGTTTAAGAAAGATACTGTCCAAAATGATACGATTTCAAGAATATTGCACTCAGAAAGTGGGATAGGATTATATAACGCAGGGAACGCAGTGATCCACACTCATGTCTGTGTGATGTTTATGTAGATATTGTCGTGTGGTTAATGAGGCACAGAGAACCTGTTGATGTGATTGTTTTTCCTCTAGTTTTATATTAAGCTTATTTCATTTAATAGTCTATTCAGGGGATCTTAACTTTTTGTAGTAGTTATTTACAGTGATGGTTGTTGCTTTGTAGCTCAGTAAGTTATGGTATTCCTTATTCATAATAGATTAATGTTAGCATCTACTTACACAAACCTGAAGTCAGCTTTTTATTCGAATTTCCACCTTAAATGATGCATCCAGCCAGCTTCTTGTTCAAACTTTCCTGTTCCACCTTAAATGGTGCATCTTCAGGCACCAGAAAGTGACTGCTGCACCATTTAAGGTGGAACGGGAAAACTGGAACAAGAAGCTGGCGAATTGGAGGCAAACATTAGCTCCGCCCTTCTTACTGTGTTTTGAAGGTTTATTTTATTTTTATGTGTATTAAGATTAGAAGTGATTCACACACTGATGGATTTGCTGATGTGTGTGAAAATCGGTTGAGTAATAGGGAAGTTGTGGCTGATTTAATCCTGAGACTCATCGTCTCTCAGTACAGGTGAATCTGTTCACAAGCGGATCTTGACCTCTCCAACATGGCGGACGCGCAGACGTATCGCCTCAGATAGAGAACAACAGACACCGTGGTATCTAGGTATGTATATCTGTGGTCCTGACATAGATCTGCTGCTGTTCTCCATTTCTAACAACTGATTGCAGTGCGTTGGTCAGGCTATCACTTGTATTCACGCCTGGTGACGTATATATGTCTTTGCTAGACATCCGTTACACATGGCTGCTGATGGTACTTCATCACTTTGCTCTGCTAGGTTGGTAATAAGCCTGCTAAAGGTTACACGGCTAAAAATAACAATAACAGAGGCGCTACACCAAAGCATATACCCAGGGCCGACTCTATACACTTAGAAAAGATGGTTCGCCCAAGGTTCTTTAGTAAAGAAAATGGTTCTAAGTAGAATCTTGACCACTCAAAGAACCCTTTGCATGATTAAAGCATTCTTCAGATTAATGGAGAATGTGCTATGGATGGTTCCAGAGAGGGTTCTCCTATTGTTTCAATGTCAAGCCTGTAATAATAATAGAAGAACCCTTTTTGGTGCTAAATAGAGCCCTTTTCAAAAAGGTTCTATATAGAACCATATAATACACACTCTCCATCAATCTAAAAAAGTCTTTATCAATGCAAAGGACCCTTTAACTCTTTAAGCAGAGGGTTCTTTGAGTGTTCACGCTTCTACATAGAACCATTTTCTTTTCTAAAGAACGCTTGAAGAACCATTTTCTTTACCAAAGAACCCTTGAAGAACCATCTTTTTTAAGTGTGAAGCTTTATGGGGGGCCTAAATGGGATGTTTTGGGAGGCCTCATCTTACTAGCTGATTTTAACTGTAAAATTAGAGGCTAACTACTACCACAAGCTCGATTCGAGGCTCTGCATCTTTTTCTTTTACGCTTTTAGGCTCCAGATGTGTAGATTATTTTTTGAGACATGATTAACTAGTCAATTTTTCCCCTCACTTAAGCATCTTAGACAACATAATGAAACAGTTATAACCTAGAAGTTGTTAGGGGGCCGCCTGGACCCTAAGCAGCTGCTTATGTCGCTTATTAGATAGAGCCAGCACTGTTTCTAGCCAGACAGAGCTGTTTACAAGTTTGTTAAACAAACAAAACAAAAACAAAAAAAAATGTTTTGCATTGTAAAGTTGCATGGTTAGTCGATTAGCTCAGTGAGGCTAAACTAACAAAGGGCGAGTCCTATTAAATAATGCACTCCTCACTGTTCACTCCTCCTCTTCTGCTGCGAGTGGCCACTTGTGTAACGTAGGTGTGAAGCACATCCAAATGGTGAGTCGAAGTGGTCGAGGGCGTGTTTAAAAAAGGAGTTGAAAAGGGACTCTAGAGTGAGGTTTACACCTCTAAAGCACCGTTCTGTAGTCATATTAGCAACTCCGTGTCAAAGCTGGTTGGTAAAATGAAATGAGATTTTGGAAAATCACCGCTGTCGCACCGTGTTGTACACAAAAAGTCTTCCAATATGTTCTGTCCTGTGTGCATTTTTCCACCAGGGGGCACCCTAAGAACTTCCGGGTTATTACTGTTTCCTTACATAGTCTAAGATGCTCGAGTGAGGTAGAATCAACTGGTTAATTGTGTCCAAGAACATATGTGTCTGGAATTACAAGGTCGTTAAGAAGCCAAAATATTGTGGCGCTACCAGCAGACGGGTTTGAGCCAATTGGACACATCAAGGACTCCCAGAATGCCATGTGCCTCTCCGCAGCCTTAATTTAGTTTACATTTGCTGGTTTAATGTTGTTGTTGGGTTTAATGGGTCACATCTTAAGTGCTCACCCTCTTAGTATGGTGCTTTTCTGTTACTGACCTTTCTCCCGTTTCCACCTGTGGTCAGTTCCTTTTTCTTTCTGTCTCAGTAAACAGCGTTTCCCGGAACAGAAATGGCTCAATCCATGTTTCTTCTGCGCAGACGCTACAATGTACACATCGCTACATTCATGCTAATAGCAAGCAAACACTCGTGCGCACTGAAATGTTGTTACATTAAAGTCTACTATTAAAGTTTAGCATG